GCAGTCCCGCAGGCTTTTGCACCACCAGCACCTGACCCGAGACCCTCGAAACACCTCCGCCTCGACCCCTCAAATGGTCGTAACAATGGCCGTGGCTCAAAATGAAGGAGCCAGGGCAAACCGCAGGTTTTGGGCTTTCCATTTAACAAGGTGCCAGCTCTTGGCACATTGTTTGAGGCACACCAATCTTTCGGAAACCCAAAGCCTGAAGCCTCAGGTCTAACCCCAAAACAGCGTGTCTTGACAACCACGAAGGTTCCCAAAATCGACACACCGCTGACCACAGATCGCCTTTTGAAAAACAAATGGTCCTGGTAGATGGAATAAGCCATCTGAACCAGTGCCATCTATGTTAAGCAAACTAACCTAAAAAGGACACCTATGCCCCTAACACGGTCTTGCAATCGAAGGAAGTTGCATGTCACAAGTGTCAACACTCCCCCGTCCTTCTTAGAAATCCTCCGTATTTCAATTGTGCGATTTTCTAAAAAGAAGCATCCCTGCAAAGAATGCCATGTACTAGCTTGCTCTTTTCAGGACATGGCCCCTCTTCACATGCCTTTCAAGCCTTCCTCTCTTGACGTCAAAATAGGGGATCCCCCTCCCCTCCCAAAAAAAGAGTGTCCTTTGGCTATCCCTTAAAGCCAACCCCAAGGATACCGTTCCACAAACCAAACTGAGTGCTTCTCCTTTGGCTTCCCTACCAAGACCTCTGGAAAAGCTGCCGCTCGAGCCACGTGCTCGTTCTCCGCGAGCTTCAAGATGGGCTCGTCGCTGACCGTAGGCTCTTGCATCACGAAGCTGTGCTTCAGCACATCCCCGTTCTCCTCAACGCCCAAACGACGCTCGACGCGCTCGCCCGGGGGACGCAAACGCGCACGCGCACGCGCGCACGCGCAAGCGAGAGAAAAAAACAAGATCGTGCACGCAAGGGGCTGAAACTGGGAAAGCTCACTGGAGAAATCCCAACTTCGACGTGCGGCGGTTTTCGTGCCTTCCGGGGTCTTCAGTGAAAATGACTTCAACTTGAAGGACGTGGGAAAATTGAGTGCTCCATGTCTGGCCCAAGTGCCATGACCAAACAAACGGAGCTCTTGGGCTCCATATTCCAAGCTAAAAAGATCGCCCAGCGAAGGTCACCTAGGGCCCTTTAAAGGTGCCTCACACAATTCGCCCATGGGTGAAATTGATTGGGATCCCGGACCCTTTGGCCATTTTTTTCGGGGATTTGGGTGTGGCTCAAAGTTCAACAGCTGGTTTTTAAGATGGTTTCCATATACCAAGGTGCGATTTTCGGGCGTCCATGTCTGAAGCCACAGCCATTTAGGTCCCCCAATTTGTTGGGGCTGGGGGGTAACGCAGGGTTTAGTCTTTCCATATACCAAGGTTTCAAGGTGCGATTCTCGGGTTCCATTCCTTTGGGTGCTCAAAGTCCAGCTGGTTTTTGTTTCCATATGCCGTGCGATTCCAAAATGGCCCCTTGGTAAAAGGAAACAAAGACTAAAACCTGCGCGTTTCCCCAAGCTCTTTCATTTTATGCTTCACTTTGAGCCACTGGGATTGAAAAATGGTAAAGCGTATTCTAAGTCTACCCCAGCCCCAAGCCTTTGGGAAGCTTTGGTGTCGAAGCGCAGCGCCTTGCCGTCGAGGGGCCAAGAGTTCGTCCACCGCACAGCGCCGGCCATTGAGCAGCAGGTTTTCGCTGGACACCGCAGACGCCACCTCAGTGGCGTGGCTACCCGCAAACACATAGGCCATTTGAAAAAATCGAGGGCCTTCCCTGGGAAATGGGAATTTTCACCCCATCTAAACCAGTGGAACCCATCTAGTTTTAACCAACCAAAAAGGACATGCGCAAACATGTGGTGCCTGGATCGCCAGTTGCGATCGCTTTTTTTCCATCTACTTTACCCCAAAACCAGCAACATGACTGAAACAAACTGCGACTTGGCTATCTAGGTAGTTTTGTTCGGGAAACCCCGGGGAATCAGAAGCCACTTCTAGAAATGGCCCGATTTTGAGAACCCACTTTTCCACGCTTTGGTAAGGGGGGGCAAGCAGACACATTCCTTTCGGCAGGGCATATCAGACGATGTGATTTCGGCAGGAGTCGGGAGATGAAGGGAACACCAAGTCTTGTAAGAGACCTGAAAATGGCTCGTCGACTCGGGCCAAGGCATACTGGTGGTCATAACCAAACTCTTCCTGCATGACCTGGCCAAAAAATCCCAAGTCATACGCCGGCGGCGAACTTCGCGAGCCGAGATCGATCGATCGATCGCCTCCTGCAACGGACGGCCACGCCATCTCATCTTCACGTTCACCGTCCTGGCCGAACTTCGCTCGCGGAGAGCTTTGCCGTGCGAAGGGATCCGCTGGCTCCTGGTGGTCTCGTAAGGCGGCAAGCTGCGCCGCCCGTCCTGCACCTCGCGAGCCGAAGGAAGCGCCAGCTCAACAACTCCATAGAATGGGTCTAGCTGAAAATGGCTATTGATTTGGTGTTTCCTTGGGTTTTACTTGCAGGGGACCTCCCCACCCAAAAAAGGGGTGGGGTTCCTGTGGTCTTCCTGTAAACCAATCCCTCAAAAAAAGAAAAAAAGGAGCCACCAAACAAAGACACGCCCAACTTCTGGCAACCACTTGCTTACGGCTTCGCGGCACACCGCCGCCTCGAAGTCGGGCGGGAAGGGGAGCTCCGGGAAACCCGCCATGCCGCCATGTGCGGTGATGCCGCCGGGCAAAACGTGAAAACACGGGCCGGGCGGCAGAGCAACAAGACTCAAACCTGCGAAATCGGTGCGAGAGATGTAGGGAATGAGAAATGGTTTCTGACCCCCGAGATGAACCATACGTAGGTACTGAATCCCCAGGTTCCTTCCCTCATTCCCTGCTGAGCATGGACTTCCAGTCAGAAAAAACATACTTGGCGGGGAAGTCATTGGCACAAAGCCTGTTGTGAGGGATCTGGGCTGCATCTCTGCATGCAGTAAGATGTCTTCTTTCCAGCTAAGGCCAAAACGGATGCCACACTCTCTGGCACAATTGCAGGTACTCTCCAAGCATGCACAAGCTCAAGATTGGCCCCCATTCAGATTGGGTAAGTAGAAACGCCCAGTGCCAGTTAAACTGATGAGGCTTTTTGGCGCTCACCGCGTCCGGCTCTCACGTCGCCACCAGCTTCAGGATCTCCTCTGGCGACCGCGGTTTCTCCCGCAGGTTGGGGTTTTTCCGCGGCGCAATAAAACCTTGCGGGGGGGGGGGGGAACCCCCGAAATTCGTTGGAACAGGAAGGCCAAGCGACTCAGCTCAATGTGGGTTAGGAAAAAATTATATGGTATGTCATAGAAAACTCCAACTCCAAATCCAATGGGCTGTTTTGCAAAAGCCAATTGGGAATTCCCAAGACCAAATCCTTGGGAATCTGGTTGCCGAACGGAGAGAGAGCATCGCACAGCAGAACTCGGTCGTTGTGATTTCATCAGGTGGACCTTTTGCCGTTTTCTAAAAGTTGACACTCTTAAAGTCAGAGCCATGTACAGTCTCTCCCTGTCTCTCTCTATGTGGCTATGAATTTGAATAGGGAACCCCCTCCAAAGTGGTTGGTGGACATTTTTATCCCCACCTAAATGATGTCTACCAAAGGGTCCCTAATTAAAATTCAGTCACTGGAGGGTGCCAGTCGCAAAAGCCGCAGGATCTCGCCTCGGGTGTCTTGTTGGTGAAGTAGTCGCTGTCCAACTGGACGCCCTCCTCCTGCAACCGCATCATACTACAAGGGGGGATCATCCTTGGCAGCTCCAATAAAATGGCGCCATTGTCATGAGAACATCAGCAGTGTGTACAGCCAAGAAAAAATCTGCCCGGCAGGGTTTGGCAAACATTAATCGAAGAAAAAAAAGAAAAAAAGAAGAAAAAAAGCACTTGTCCCTGAATAAAAAGGGAAACCAGAAGGTTGCTTGAACAAGTGTTTAATCATGCGCAAAAAGGTGTTTGGCCCAACCCTGGTGCCCAAGATCCAAGCTGTCTAACACGACACGACAGGTGGCATGTCGTGATTTGAAGGGACGCCAAAAGAAGGCAACTTTGCAGTTTTAAGGGAAACCAAAGGAAAGCCTGGGGCGCTAAAAAATCCGTCACCCATTTCGAGACACCCAAGCTATGCCGTCAAGATCGATCGCACTGACGTGAAAATCGCCGGGCTCCTTACAAAGCGCTTCCACCTTCTCTCGCACCTGCGAGAATCTCTTGCAGAGACCGCGAAGCCAAGATCCACCCTGGAACAAGGCACCGTCCTTCAAAATTTCATGGACAGGTCCTCCAACCAACCCCGAACCGCGAGGAAGGGATATTGCACACCCTCCGGAAGACTTGCCGGAGCCGACTTTTAGGCTCGCGGTTGTCACGCCTAAAGTCTGAGACGCAGTTTCTGCGATCTCGGATCAACGAGGCACACCTGGCCCATGCCTTTGGGCAGGCAAGCCTGTTGCTAAGCTCCACTCTGGTCCGCGTCGGACATAAATCGAATTGGCCTATCTGTGCAAGACCTCTGTGCCCACTGCCCACTGCAAACAGTATGATTTTTTGCGGAAGAAACTGCAACAAAGAGTTTCCTACATGACTCGGCTGAAACCCCGTGGACACATAAGCCGAGGCTTGCATTCTGAGCTCAGGCAAATGGCCTCAAGCAGCGAGCAATGGCCCAATGTGAGAATCCAATTCTATCCATGCAGGCTGGAGGGCAGCAAAAATCCCATCAAAACCAATCCGGTATGGAAACCAGCATCAAATCTGGAGCCATGGTTTTGGAAACCCAACTTGGTTGATTCCCCCTTATTTTCGGCCATCGCTCTTTCACAAAAGCAAACCGTCCTCCCTGGGTTTCCGGAGGTCTAGAAAGATCCGGATCCCGGGATGGAATTGGAAGCTTCCCTCAGACATTTAAGGATCCTCCACCAAACTCGACTCCGCTCGGCCCGCCCCAGGACACTCGGCTCTCGGCTCTAGGCCAAGGGCACCTCCAAGCGGGCCATGTACCGCACCTGCCGCGACCAGCTTCTCCGACCAGTTCTTCGAGGCCACGGCCTTTTTTATGTGGAATTTCAAGGGCCAGGTTGAAAACTGAAGCAATTTTTACCTTCCGGGCGGAAACCCATTTTGAGGTTACCCACTATGTTCGACCCACCGACTTTTGAGAAACCGCCGGCACAGTTGTCTCTAAAATGGGTTGATTCAGAAGGATCCCTGGAAAGAATTCTGAAGGTACCCCTAGAACAGTCGGTCATGGCCTTGATCAGGGTTTACCTTGATCAGTTAGTCGACCCTTCTCATTTGGCTTTCATTGTTTGACTGCATGGTAGACTTCACAGTTCTAGTGGTTGATTCCTTTTCCATTTCTTTTCAACCATCGCTCTTTTCAAAAACCGGATCTGTTTCTTTTCAGCTTTTGATGATTTCCTGAAAAGAAGGATCCCTGGAAAGAATGGGGACGGCACCCAGTCGGTCATGACCTTGACCAGGTTTCACTGTTTGACTACTCCATGGTAGACTTAAACCCCGGGGTGTCCCTTTGGGGGGGGGGGAGGAAAACACCTGGGTTGAAGTCTACCATGGGGTAGTCGGAAAATGGAACCCCGACCTTGATTCTGTATGTAAAGCAGTCGATTATAACCTTGGCTGTCTCCACAGTTGTCTCTAAAAAAGAACAAGTCCTATAAAAGGAACCTCCAGTGATTGAATGTATAGTTGGGTCAAAGTAGATCTCAAAACAGAAGCACAACCATGTGGGGTGAAATACGGATGAACCTGCATGCCCAGCCCTTGTAAAACATGACAGTGGATTTGGATTCCAACGGCAGAATTCCGCACGAGGTGTAGGAATATCCAGACTGCCGTCTAAGTGATAGAAGACAACATCTCGGTATGGACCATAGCGCAGTTGAAAGCATGTGGAGCAGAGTTGCCTTGACCTGATCGACTTAAACCGGGCTCCCTCTCCATTGGAGTATAGAGAAAAGCCTGGGTCGCTTTTTGCTTTTCTGTTCGCCCTAAGCTTCAACATATTAATCGCGGTTTCATCAGCCTGAACATAGGCTTGTCTTTTCTATGGAACCCCCCGCCACCCAACATGGTGAGTTTTTTCAAGGGAAACCCTTCCCCACAAAACCTCGGTTGCTTTCTGCTCCCCTGCTAAAAGTCTAACTTTTAGTGGTTTAATATGGAAAACATCCATTTGTTGGCAAAAAGTTATTCAGTCCTTGGCATGCACCAAAGTGTGTGTATATATATATATATATTCATATACCCACACCCATATATATATAATCGAGTCTTCCTTGGCCCCCACCCCCCACCCCCTCTCCACCCCACAAAACAAGGCCACCCCACAAAACAAGGGGCGGTCCCGAGAAGCTACCGCTCAGGGCCCCGCATCCAAGCCCTGGCTGTTGGCACAGTCCGGCGTTTGGTCGGAGGGGATGACCCAGAACCTGGCCACACGCGCCTGATTCGAAACCACCGGACTTTGGTCGCAAAAGATGACATGTGATATGTGTGCTTTGTTTGTGTGGTGTTCTTTTTGTTTTGCTTTGTTGTTACTTTGTTTGTTGGTTTTGTTTCTTTTGGGGGGGGGAGGCGGGGTACAAAAACCCAACCCAATGGAGGGTTGATATGGGCTGTGCCATTCCTTCCCTCCCTGTGATGTGAACGCCCATCAGCAACGCGCCATGTGGTTCCGACCTTCGGCCGCCGAGGTCGGAGATGGCTTTGCCCCACTTGGGAAAGATGGAGCCGTCCTCGCAGCAAACTAGTTTGGGGGTATCTTCGCTTGAAAAAGTACCGGGGTTCAAACCATCTAAGAATGGCCCGAGAAGAAGCACGTAGCTAAGATGTTTCCCAAAGAGAATGTCCAGAACAGGATGTCCCAATTCCGTGAAGCACACCCTGAAAAGCTCCTACCTGGATTTACAAAAAAAAAGTTGGAACGATTCCCACACCTGAAAAGTTCACACCTGGGTGACAGGGTTGAACCATTCCCGCCTTTTGGGTTGACATCATCCTACTGCTTGCCCACATACCCGTCTTCCAACCACCGCTGGCACGCAGCGGGTCAAGAAAACAACCATCGTCCATCGAATATCCGCTCCTGGAGGGCCCTCTCGGCCTTGACCTCCATCAATGCCAGGATGTCCTCGACTGGAAAAAGAAATGGGGCTGGTCTCCAAATAGGAAGCCGCCGGCCCCCCCAGAAAATATACAAATATATAATATATAATATGTATAATATATAAGGTGGTTTGCTAGCGGTTTCCCGGAAACCACTCTCCCAAAAAGTGCATCATCCAAAATACGCTCCCGTTCTTTCACGCAGCTGACACCTGTTTTGTTGTGTCTTGATAGGGTGCTCCCCTCTGGCTTCGCACATGTCGGGTCCTTCAAGGACATGTCAGGTCTGATCTCCTGCCAGCAATCGTGCACGACTCATGGGAAGCCGCATCACAAAGGTGGGCAACCACTGAAATATGCCATAGCATGATTGGCTCACCAGCTGATTATCAAGCTACCAGCAACCTCAACATGTGTACCTTTTTCCCAACAGATGGAAGCATATGACCTCTTTGCCCAAATAGGTTCCGGGGTGGTCGAGGCATGGGGCGGTTGCCAGGAGGGCTCCGGGCACGCACGGGGCGGTTCCGAGAACCAGCTAGTGCGAACTGGTCGGTCGGTGTGCCGAAGCAGAAGTATTCCCAAAGTTGTCCAAGACATGTGTGGGTGTGTTCGTTTTTAGGGAACCCCTGTTTGGTCGAAAGGGGGAAACCAACAAGAAAACCATGTGGCTGAATGTATGCAACCACCCGCCGTTTTTGCGTGGGGGGGCTATCAGAACCAGGGCCGCCGCTCGCCACACGAGATCCAAACGCGACTCCGATCGACTCCCAGCGGATGGGATTCGCCTGGCTGGAGGCCTCCGGCAACTTGCCGCTCTGCTTGGCCTTCTGCCATTCACTCAGATACCTCACAGCTGACCGCCCACGTGGGACCGGGCTTTTTTTTGTATCGAATCGTATGGCTTGGAACACCAGGTGGTTTGTTTCCCCTTGTCCCTCCCAAAACAGCCCCAAGAAGACCGCGCTCAACAAAACACACACTATGTCTTGATCCAGCTGTCTTGCGGAAAAATACGACCATCTTCGCGAGGAAAATTGTACTTGCAACGGCTCACTACCATTAGCGTCCTGGACCCCGTGTGCTCCAGGGATGTTCGGCTCAGCCAGCGCTAATGTCTTAAAACCATTCTCGAGATAGGCTGAAATATAGGATGCAAGGAAACACATGCACATCTCACCGTAAATATGCACGAGCATGCCTCCCAGAACACGACGCCAAGTCTTTCACAAAAACAAATTCTCTTTTGCAGACTCCATCATCGTGGATCTTTCGCGTTCTCGAAAGCCTGCAAATTATGCCCGTCTAGACTGCAAGTCTCACGAGGGCCTCTTGATATGTATGTGTGTGTGTGTGTTTAAGTGTTTCTCCTTGTGTCTGAACAAGGATCAGAAGAACAGGCCTCGAAAGAAGGTCTAATCAGAAACGCAGGGGATCCTGAAATGAACAGCTTGGCCACGCTGTTCCCTCGCAAGACACGCTCTCTCTACAACTTTGGAACAACAAACCTGTTGCAATAGCCAGCCCGCATGTTCCCCATGGGACACTTGTCCCCTGCTCTGCTCCAGCCCCTGCTCGCCTCTCTGATTTGCAACGTGTGGCCATGGGTCAAAAGCTCGTACCCCCAGTGAACATCCCAATCCCCACTAGAATAGACTGCAATGGGTGGTGCACATACCCAAAAATGGTTACCACAGCCCCATGTGACCCTCTTGCACGGCCCAGGGAGCGTGCTTCATCTTTTGCGCTTGCGGGATGGTGGTCGACGCCATGATCTTTTTCATGGCGTCCCCCTGCGCAGGTGTTCAAATGCAATGAAAACCGTGTCTGAAGCAAACGCAGCCGAGAAAAGCGCACCTGTGCATCTGACAGGGGCGGCAAAAGCGAGGAGTTGATGGACACTGGCGGTGGGTAGATCTGGCAGGAGACGGGCACGCGCATCTCCTTGTTTTCCTGCGCGCAGCCACGCATAGCCCCAGTTCCCTTCGCCCAAATCTTTTACATAACGTTGCAGTACTCCGGACCACAAGGCAATACATGGTGTATACCGCTCTAGCTGCAACTCCCATCGTCCCTTTTTCATCCTAGCTTGAGGGTGGAAACATGTGCCCGGCCCGAGAGGAAGATCACCACCCGACTTCTCTGCCTCGTCTACCACCCTCTTCCAGCCCAACACGAAGCTCCAGTTGCGGAGCCTCAGCACAAAGGACTGTTGGATTCCCTTTAAGCCAAGATGACCCTCGAAACCACACCCCCATTTGGACCCTCAAATCTTGGCACCCCCCAAAAAAAAGGAAAACGGCTCCCTGCCCAAAAACCCAGCACCTCCTTTCCTCTTCGATGTGGGCCCTCCAATGGTCGGGAAACCTTCAAAGACCCAGCAGTGTTGCTTTGGGCCCGGCTGAAGCTGGTGCTCCTTGGCCAACCACGTCTTGAAGGCCTCACTGTGGGGGGTAAACAAAACTGGCTGCGGCTCTCGTGTGTGTGTTTTTCTTTTTTTGGGGGGGCCCTGTTTTGGTGGGGAACCAAATAAAAATCTTTAATATGCTCAGGCCGTTTGTTTGCTTCTCTTTTTTGCACACGCTGAATATTCGTGGTTTGGAGAGAAGGTGGGTTCCCACTTACCCACTTACCCACTTACCCTCTACAAGAAACAAAAGTTCAAGGCCCCAAACTAGCAATTCAATGCTGTCAAACCACCAATTACCTGAGTTTTAGCACGCCAGCAACACAAGGGTGAAACCAAATCTGCCATCAAGTTCGTCTACAAGTGGACCGCCGTGGACGGCGAGAATGCTTTCATGTTGGTTTCCGGCAAAATCCCAGAAAGGGAATCATCAACAAGGAACACCCCTAATTTGCAGACCACTGTTGCTCTTCCTTTCAAAAAATGCAGACCAGTCTCCGGCTTGATGCTTTTTTTAGATAATTGTGTGTTGTCCCTAGTTGGGCGTATCTTCCCAGGGTTCTAAAGGGAACGCTCCTTCCCACAAGGTACCCTTTGGGCTTGAGCATCTTGGCTCCAATTCAGAAGACACACCAAAAGAGAAACACGTGCTGGAGTGATAAGACTGGTTCCCTTACTCGGGGTTGGTAATGATCAACCCCTTGGGATATTCAGACAATTCGGTCACCAACTCGGAGCTCGGCCCCGCCTCCAAGGTCATGCTGCCTGTGGGCACTTTCAGCTTGTCCCAAACGCTGTGCTTCTCGGGGTAAGCGGCGTAGGGCTCTTCGACCACGAACTCTGCCTGCCGCAAACTTGCAGTTCTCAGGCGTGAATTTTAGTTTTGTTGGCCCTTTGGTCGGACATCCGTAAGGAATTCATTCTCAGGTCCACCACATGAAACAGGGAGTTCAACAACTTGCACCAAAAAACTCCTCCCAAAGGCTCCAAGCCATGCCCCGAAGCCCCGCGCGTCGGCACGCCCCGCCGGCCGCTTCGGCGGGGCGAGGTCTCGCGGCCTTGATCTTCCCCGCAGCGTCGAAGGCGTCGGCCGGCAGCTCCTCGGCCTGGGCCAGGCGAGAGCCGCGCCGACTTCGAGCCGATCCCCCCAAAACGCTGGGTGCGAGAGAGGCAGGGAACGAGACATGGTTCCTAACCCCCACAAAAGAAACATCCAACTGGTTTTTTTCTGATCCATCCAACTGGTCTAATGAGACATGGCGTCTGATCCGTACCATCCAACTGGCGTTCTTTCCTTTAAGGAAAAGGACCAATTCCTGGGTTCATTCCATTTCACACGCCCTGCTTCTCGCAGAGAAAACGTTTGGACACCCATGTCCCAAGGGTCATGCCGCTACCCGAGGCTCTGGCACGCGGCACTTTCTTCTCCACCCCCGAGACGAAGGAGCGGGGCTCCTGAGGGGCGCTTTCGAATGCGTCGCCTGAGGAGCGCAGCAGTGGAGTCCCAAAACCCAGTGGCCGTTGGCTCCATTCAAACGGGCGTTCATCACGAATCATCCTCAACAAGCCCCTAACATGGCGAAGAATTTTACATGGTTGCAACCGCGATTTTCGAGCAATCGAATTGAAGGCTGCAAGGCGAACCAAATTTTCGGACTTTGTGCAGCATCCCCCCAGCTATTGCTTCAAACGGCTTTGGACCCAAAAAAATCGGCGGCCTGCGCTTCAAAGGACGTGTAGGTGTTCATGGCCAGGCCCACCTGGCAGTCGGGGCGTCAGACTTCGCCCTGCAGACACGTTCAGCAAATTGCCGCAAACCGGAAAAGGGATGGTGTTACCATGTTTTACCCAAACAAAAGGTCTACCTGCAAAAGTACGAACTTTTTGCAAATTGAACCTGAACATTACGCGAAAAGCAACGAAAGGGCAAGAAGTGAAAAAGGTGTGAACCAAGTCTGGGCCTTCCCCTGAAAAGCTAGAAGCATCCGAGGGCTAAAGTTCTGCCAAACACCAGTGGCCAAAAAGCTGTGGAACTCCTCTTTCGACATTTCTCCTGCCCTCACGCAAGCCAAATATTTTTGAGCAGCGCCTGCCGAGTCCGAAAGCTATCGGTATCCTTCTTGAGCAGGAGCTTGAAAAGCTCCAGCATCACCTCGAAGAGGTCTCTCAAGGCCCAGCAAAAACCCAGTGGGTCCCTTGCTCTTTTTTGGGTGAAGGTTGACATACCAAGAGAATTCCAGCGGCCCAACCATTTCCTGGGTCTCAAATGGACAACCCTTCGGCCCACAAGTTTCTGTGGCCAAGTTTCAGCTGGAAGCGGCGGGAAGCCCCAAGCCCCGTTGCGGGAGAGCCCAAGGAACCAACGATTCAAGGCGATTCCTCGATGCCCATTTTCGGGTGCCCATGTTGCGGAGACCCGACTGAGCCCCGAGCTCTTGGTTTCTTATCTGGTCCTAAAGGTTAATATAGGCAGTACTATACACCCCAGGCCAGGCAGGACCATCTGCTCAAAACTAAACAGCTGGGTTACGCAGGTTTTGGTGTTTGTTTCCATATACCAAGGTGCCAAAAAAAGGGTACACTTATTTGAGCCACAGCCACATGGGGGGCGCTTTTGGGGTCTTGGGCACTCGGCATTCGGAGCCCGCCAACTCAACTCTGGGGCAAGGACCAATCCACAGACCGCTGCTGTGGTGGTGGCAATGGCCGGCACGATGCGTCCCGCCACCAGCTTCACCTTCAAGGAACACGCGGAACAGGGGTGAGATGGGCGTGTCTTGAAATATGGGATCCAGAAAATGATGTGTTCCCTTTGGTTTCCCTTTACAACTGCTCATAGAGGGGCACCCTGAAACAAAAGACACACCCGCATGGAAGATCATTGAAACCACCTCCGTGCTCGTTCTGAGCCCGCCTTCTGGAAGTCTGAATTAGCAATATGGTAGTTGTCTGCACGCAGGTTTGCACACCGCGTGATGAAGTCAATGTGAAAGTTGAAGTCGTCATCCTGCACAACCCCCCAAGCTACCAGTCGTTTGGGCATGAACTCAATTAGGGAACATCAGAATTCGGTGCGGATAAAACGGTCCGCCGGCCACTTTTCAGGTGGTTCCACCTCCGCAAAGAGTCACAATTGCCGCCTGCCATCGTTGTCCGTCCTTCTCAAAGTCTGCCTCCTCTAAAGCCGGCAACGCTTGCCCCTTGAAGACCTACAGCAATGCAGGACCGCCCACACCAACTGCAGCCAGCACACCAAAAGATATGCGGCATTGGTCGAAACTCATTCTGACTCCTTTTGACTGTCCTTCTGTCTGCTCCGCCCCGATTGGCGGAGACAGCAGGGTAGGCCTATGGTCACCACTGGCCGATGGTCATGCTTCCTTTAGGAATCATTACTCGGTTGCTTGCTGCTCCCCTGCTAAAGGTTTACAGTAACTTTTAGTGGTTTAATACGGAAAACATCCAAAAGTTGGATCAACAAGTGATTCAGTCCTAACATCCCTTGGCAAAATGCACCAAAGTCCCCTCCTCCCCTGCCATTTGCTTCAACATCCAAGCAAAATGCACCAAAGATTATAGTGGCTATTTTCAGGACCTTTGTCAGGTGAATGCCCATCCCCGTCAACCCTAAGCAAGGG